AAAAAAAAAAAAAAAAAAAGACAGACTTGCTTTATGAAGGTTAGGATCACATATGCTATCCTTTGGGCTTTTCTGAATTATGATGGCATACACCAACACTGTGGTCAATTCTCCATACTGGAGCGTATGAATCTGGTTTTTGGTACTAGAACTAGCCCATGTCTTCAGTAATTTATATGGTTCAGGAACAAACAAACAAAACAAACACAGATAATTGTACATATTTATCATGTTTATTTTACTGTTCCATTAAAATTTCACTCTCTTTGTTTACCAGAAATAAGTATTGGATAGTTGTTAAGACACCTAAAATAAAATGTTTTCATCTTTGCATTTATTTTCTAGGACCATTCATTTTATTAGATATACTATTGCATCTAGAAATGCACTTAGTGAAATTTTCTTGTAATCTCTCTGTGTTATAAAAATAATCACATGTCAATGAAGATCCATTTTCTTACATGGTTAATGTAGCATCTATAAAATAGGTGATTTGGAAAACATAAAAGGTGAGTTGAGCATAACAACTGGATATTACAGAGTATTACTGTTAAATAATCCTTAAAGAAAATTGGGCTAGTGTGTTTCTGTTTCTTGATTAAGTATACAATGACAAAGATTGACAACTAGGTATGTGGAGGGGTGTAGAGGGTGATTGTGATGATGGGTGTGTACAATCATATTAGTATAAACACTAGATACATACATGTTTCCCTCTAGGTTTTCTTTAAATAAGAAAATAAAACAGTTTCATTATGTTATTTTTATTAGGTGTCATCAGGTTGGTTTAGATTCACAGCGATCCTATACATGTGAAATAAAATAAAACACTGCCTGGTACTGCATTGTCTTCAGAATTGTTAGCTTTGAGCCCATTGTTCTTGTCATCAGGTCACTCTATCTCCTTGTGAGTCATCCTTTTTTTTCTCTGACCATCCACTTTGCCAAGCATAATGTACTTCTACCATGATTGGTCCCTCCTGATACCATGTTCAAAGAATGAGAGAGAAAGTCTGGCTATCCTTATTTCTAGGAATATTCTGGCTGTACATCTTACAAGACAGATTTGTTTGCTCTTCTGAAAGTCCTTGGTACTTTCAATTTTCTTTGTCAACCTCGTAATTCAAATGCAAGTCTTTCTGTTTCA